ATAAAATGGATAAAAATAGGTAAATGTACGAGCGAGCGTTCGTATACAAATATATATATATATATATATATATATATATATATATATATATATATATAATTATTTATTTAAAAATATGATTCCAAATCGCGACATAAGAAGTCTCATGCTTCAAAACAAGAGCCGAAAACTTCAATATAATTATTTAAATTAAATTGAGTTAAAATAAGCTCTGTTCCATCTTCAAGCAAAATTTTTTGGAATAACGTGTTTCTGAAATATATATATATATATATATATATATATATATATATATATATATATATATATATATATATATATATATAAAACTAAAAAAAAAAGAGAATTATAAATAATAGAGATATTTAATATCTTAAGAAATAAACAGAATATCTTACGTCGATTGCACAACTCAGAGTTTCATATATTCTGCATTTTTCAGTTGCAATTTAGGTGTTTCAAATCTGTACCTGAAGAATGCAGAACATATTAATCTCCGTGTTACTGCAATCAATGCATGATAGTATGTATATTTTTTAATATATATATATATATATATATATAAGGGAGAGATTATAGTTGTTCTAACGAGAGAAAAGTGTATATTTTAAAGAGAAGCCGCAAATGTTTTTGGTTTTAATGTGGAGTTTTTGGGACTTGAAAATATAAATGGGGTTACAACTACACACAAATGACAATAGTCAAACATCGGGAAACATAAAGAAAATTAATTCCTCTTAATATGTGGAAATAACTGCTCGTTGCCTGAAGAAGGTCACGAGACCGGAAACGAGTGTAGCAAATATATGGAAAAAAATGTCTAATATATATTTAGAAAAATCCACATTTTAACCAAAAACGTCTGCGGCTTCTCTTTAATATATATATGTATATATTTATATATATATATATATATATATATATATATATTGTTTTACGCGAGAGATTAGCACCCCACCACACACTCGGGATTAAAATGTATACATTTTGTCAGGAAGACCAGCTGATATTAGCGTCTATTCTAACGTAATTTCAATGAAGAAATAAATTGAATAACATGTGTATTTTTTCTTTTCTTTTCAGTAATTTTATAATTTTAAACTTAATATAATTTTAAAATTTAGATTTTAAAATTGGTAATTTTTCACTTTTATTTTTAATATCAAATTTTATCATATAATTTAATACTTATTGGTTAGAATAAATTCTATTTTTGTATAACCCCAACTTTAAAGCTTTTAATAACTATTATAACCTTACTTCGTTGTCAAGTTTTTTTTAATTCTCTTATACTTATGTTTTGATTGGTCATTCTTGCTTTTGTAAAAGCGTTTTCCTCTTGCGAAGGATCGTTAATTAATTTGAAACTTTTAAAACCATTTATCTTATCTTCAACATCATCACTTGATAAGACACCGGAGGTGTTGAAACAAAATGGCTATTTTTGTCGTGATTTTATAACATATTTATGTTATATTTTTTAAATAAATAATTATTAGGTTGGTGCAAAAATAATGACGAAATAATGTCGTTTTTTGACGTACTTTTCTACGTTAAAAAACGAAATTTTTACGAAATTATTTTTGCACCAACCTATATAACTGCTATACTCTGTATTGAGCACTCTTTTAAGAATAGTAAATGTTGGTTATTGGAATTTATTCCGTATACACCAATCATATACTTGTATTTATATATATATATATATATATATATATATATATATATATATATATATATATATATATCTGTGCGTGTATATATGTGTGTTTGCTTCGAATGTTCATTGATTTTTTTGTGTCGATAAGCAGGGATTTTTATTTATTTTTTTATATCTTTTTGAGTAATTCGATTGAATGTTGCAGTCAGAATAATTATTCTGTGTAGGTCATGTTGTGTAGTTATGTGGGACATTACCACAATTACGACATACGCGCAATCAGACACACACACACATACATACATACATATATACATACATATATACATACATAACAAGGTGGTCGACGATGGTACTTCGATCCGAACGGTTTCTTGAAATCGAATCAAATGAGCAAAACATTAGAAGGGAATTTCTTTTCAGTGCCCTTTCCACAGAAACAATTAACATGTGTTAATAATTGTTCAACGCTAATTATCGTATGAGACATGTTGACAATTCCTGTCGTAAAAGATGCCTTCTAAAAGCTAAGCAGATTATTAAGAAATAGAAAAAAACTTCCTTAAAAAAACAAAACAAAACAAAAAAAAAACAAGAAAAAGAGTACTGAACTGCTACGTGATATCTGTCGTCCCGTATGGCAGTGAGAGCTGGACAATCTCCTCAAAGATGAAGAAGTGACAGAAGTGTGGTTCTACAGAAGGATGCTGAGGATTAGATTGAACCTGTAAGCAACGACGAAGTTTTAGAGAAAATGGAAACAGAAAGGAAACTTATACTTAACATCAGGAAGAGACAGTTGAGCTTTGTAGGGCACATAATGAGAAAAGAAGGCTTGGAAAATCTGATACTCACAGGACAGATTGAAGAGATGAGGGACAGAGGAAAACAGCACATAACATAATGAGATTGAGTAAATGGATGGTAAAACAGTTGTTAGGAGAAATAACAGAAGTTTATTAAGAGCTTCAAATGACAGGAAGATGTGGAGAGCCATGATCGCCCATCGTCTGAGAGTGTATAGCGCATTAAGAAAGAGAAGTGGGCAGTTTTTCGATCAAACCATATCAAAGAAGATCGCTGAAAAAGGTTTTTAATTACTAATGAAAGCGAGGTACAAAATCTTTTAAAATTAATTCGACACTAATTTTCATTAGTTCACTTTTTCACGCTACGAAATTGTTTACAAATAATGATTTTATGGTCATATTGCATTTTCTCGTTAAAGATGCTGTTAACCAGTGTATCAAGCGATTATTTTTTTATATACATTAATATTGTTCACATAGCAATCTGAAATATTTTAGTTTTGTGAGATATTTTGCATTTAAATCTTGTTCAATATATAATTGTAGTATTTACAGACAGCTATTACAGAGATGTGATTAAATGAACCTTATTGTTTAAAAACATTTATTCATTATTATTATTGGTTAGGTAATAATCATTATAGCATAGCACAAATAGCGATATTACGGATAAAAGAATTTTCGACAATATACGCATATTTTTACGTATTTATGGTTATTTTTTTACCTTTTATCAAAAAATGGCATTCTTGTACAACTACAGAGCAACCTCGGTTCACGAACGTCTCACATGGTCAACAAATCGGTTTTTGAACAGAAAATTCGAGATGAAAATGCCGCGCTCATCGAACAAAATTTCGGGTTTCGAACAGAAAATTCGAGATGTAAATATCTCTGTTATCGAACAAATCGGTTTTCGAACAGAAAATTCGAGATGAAAATTACTCGATTATCGAATAAATCGATTTTCGAACAGAAAATTCGAGATGTAAATATTTCTGTTATCGAACAAATCGGTTTTCGAACAGAAAATTCGAGATGGAAATGCCTCGGTTATCAAACAAATCGGTTTTCGAACAGAAAATTCGAGATAAAATGTCTCGGTTATCGAACAAATCGATTTTCGAACAGAAAATTCGAGATGAAATGCCTCGCTCATCGAACAAAATTTCGGGTTTCGAACAGAAAATTCGAGATGTAAATATCTCTGTTATCGAACAAATCGGTTTTCGAACAAAATTCGAGATGAAAATTACTTTATCGAATAAATCGATTTTCAACAGAAAATTCGAGATGTAAATATTTCTGTTATCGAACAAATCGGTTTTCATCGGAGATTTTCGGTTATCAAACAAATCGGTTTTCGAATGAAAATTCAATAAAATGTCTCGATTATCGAATAAATCGATTTTCGAACAGAAAATTCGAGATGAAATGCCTCGCTCATCGAACAAAATTTCGTAAAACAGAAAATTCGAGATTTATCTCTGTTATCGAACAAATCGGTTTTCGAACAGAAAATTCGAGATGGAAAATCGATTATCCTCGAACAGAAAATTCGAGATGTAAATAACGAACAAATCGGTTTTCGAACAGAAAATTCGAGATGGAAATGCCTCGGTTACAACAAAAACAGAAAATTCGAGATAAAATGTCTCGGTTATCGAACAAATCGATTTTCGAACAGAAAATTCGAGATGAAATGCCTCGCTCATCGAACAAAATTTCGGGTTTCGAACAGAAAATTCGAGATGTAAGTATCTCGGTTATCGAAAAATCGGTTTTTGAACAGAAAATTCGAGATGAAAATTCCTCGATTATCGAATAAATCGATTTTCGAACAGAAAATTCGAGATGTAAATAACTCGGTTATCGAAGAAATCGATTTTCGAACAAAATTTCAGTTCTTGAACAACATAGTCGAACCGAGTTAACCCGAACGGAATCATTTCTGAGTCGAGCGCCATGTTGTATACATTCGTGTGTTGTGCCGTGTTTTTCTTTTCCAATTTTATTGTACTGTAACTTCTCTTCTCTACATTTATTCCTATTGAATATTTCGGTTTACGAACGACCTTTAGGAACGAGTTAAAATTTGTGAAACGGCGTTCCAATCTATTTGTGCTCAGTTGTTGATATTAATAGCTATCTGCTCATGTGATAAACATTTGAGATAATTCAATAATCAAGCTTTAGATTTCATCTCTCTGATAGATGTCGCGATCTGTTAATGGAAGATAAGACGACCACCCAGCCAACCACTTTTCATTTCATATCACAGTAAAGTGAAATCTCGGTTCACGAATTTAATTCGTTCCTGAAGGTCGTTCGTAACCCGAAATATTCGTAAACCGAAACTATTTTTCCAACAGAAAAATTCGGGCACTTTACGACATGGCAGATCTTAAAAAACAACCTCTCTTTATCAGATTTATTTATATTTTAATTTTAATTATATTTATTTATATTATAAGTACTGGCCCCTTTTGTGATGGAAGAGGGTCTTATTAGAAACTCAACAACGAGGCTCGATGCTCAGTAAGTATTTGTCTAAAAGCAGTTTTTGCTTGTGCATTTTGAGAGAAAAATCATTTGTAATTTGGAAGGTAAAAATGTCCTTCATTTTCATACAAATTTCATTATTCTATCTTGTCTAAAATTTGTTTCATAGTTTTGGAGACTTTATAAATCAAATCCGGTAATTTTCATGAGAAATAAACTCCATTTCGATTCCAGTTTCATTATTTTATCTGGTTTAAAACTCGTTTTATAAGATTGGACACCTTACTTATCCATCATGTCATTTTGATACCAGTTTCATTATTTTATCTGGTCTAAAACTCGTTTTATAGGATTGGAGACCTTACTTATCCATCAGTCCATGTCATTTTGATACCAGCTTCATTATTTTATCTGGTTTAAAACTCGTTTTATAGGATTGGAGACCTTATGAATCATATAATGCTGCCTAAGCCAACTCATGATATACTAAGAGATATATCTATTTTCCTAAATTGAATGCTTCATATCTATAACCTTAGTTAACAAAAGAATGTTTACTGGGTTTAATTTTAAACATTAACTTGACATTAAATTAACATAGAACAGCATAATTACTGTTTTGTTATCTCTTCTGCCATCTTACAGCCAACTTCATAATTCTATCCTCCTAAAACTAAATCTTTCTCATTATCTTCAGACAATTCAATAAAAAAAAAAGTTTAATAATCTAAATATTGATTTGTTTTTTTCTTATGCAGGTTTTTGCAGAATATCTTTTACCAATAATAAGGATTTACTGAGATAAGCCTTATTAATTATAATTAACACATAGCTACTGGAAGAATAGGTGGATATTATAATACTCCTTTTTTTTCTTTTTTATAGTTTAAAAAAGAAGAAGGCGGGTAAGTTGAATTCCGGGGGCCAGCGTGCGGCTGGCATAAATACGAACAACGTCTGCACATCATGAGCAACTAACCCTGCACTATCTATCCAATCTCAGTGTTAAAAAAAAAAAAGAAAATATCTTTGCCGTTATTCCTTTACTATAACACTAATCCTTACGTGTCTCTATCTCCTCTCTCTCTCTCTCTCTCTCTCTCTCTCTTCATCCCCCACACACACCTACTAGAACGACCCTCTATTAGTAAAGACCACCTAGTTTTGCATGAAGACGGCGTTCGTCACAACAACCGGGAGCGGGAGTGCGGAATAGTCAAGCTCTGCTAATGATGATGATGATGATGATGATAATGGAAGGAGTGATAGTGATGGTGGTGGTGGAAGGAAGGCTGACAAAGAAGTAACACTGACAGTTTCAACTGATTGTCTTAATTGTAGTGGTGGTGGCGGTGGCGGCGGGGCGGAGGCGACAAGGATGACAATGTCAACGTTGGCGGAAGCAGGGAAATTGTGATGATGAGGGTCCAGACCAGTCAACAAACTCTGGATGGATCTCATGCAGATATCAATAGGTGCGACGCTTTTTATAAACAAATATATATATATATATATATATAAGACATGAAAATAGGCAAATATTTAATGTTTTACTATGAAAATGCATTACAAATGATTTTGCTATAAACATGCATTACAAATGATTTTACTATTAAAATGCATTACAAATGATTTTACTATGAAAATGCATAGCAAAGAATTTTACTATGAAAATGCATTACAAATGATTTTACTATGAAAATGCATAGCAAAGAATTTTACTATGAAAATGCATTGCAAATAATTTTACAATGAAAATGCACAGCAAATGATTTTCACATGAAAATGCAGTACAAATGATTTTACTATGAAAATACACTGTAGATAATTTTACTATGAAAATGCATTGGAAATGATTTTACTATGAAAATGCATTGCAAATGATTTTACTATGAAAATGCTACAAATGATTTTTAATGAAAATGCTGTTTTACGATGAAAATGCATAAAATGATTTTACTTTCAAATGATTTTACTATGAAAATGCATTGCAAATGATTTTACTATGAAAATGCATTACAAATGATTTTACTATGAAAATGCATTACAAATGATTTTACTATGAAAATGCATTGCAAATGATTTTACTATGAAAAAACAAATGATTTTACTATGAAAATGAAAAAGAATTTTTAAAATGCATTGCAAATAATTTTACAATTGCAAATGATTTTCACATTTATTTAATATGAAAATACACTGTAGATAATTTTACAAAAATGCATTGGAAATTTTTACTATGAAAATGCATAAAATGATTTTACTATAAAATGCATTAGACTATGAAATTACATTTATGATTTTACGATTAAATGCAACAAATGATTTTATTGAAAATGCAAAAAGAATTTTACTATGAAAATTTTATTGCAAATAATTTTACAATGAAAATGCATGCAAATGATTTTCACATGAAAATGCAGTACAAAATGATTTTACTATTAAAATACACTGTAGATAATTTTACTATGAAAAATGCATTGGAAATTTTTACTATGAAAATTTGCAAATGATTTTACTATGAAAAAATTACAAATGATTTTAATATGAAAAATGCATTGCAAATTTTTAATGAAAATGCATTACAAATGATTTTACTATGAAAATACATTGCAAATGATTTTACTATGAAAATGCATTGCAAATGATTTTACTAAAAATGCATTTGATTTTACTATAAAAAGGCAAAATGATTTTACTATGAAAAAATGCATTACAAATAATTTTATTATGAAAATTCATTGAAATGATTTTACTATGAAAATGCATTGCAAATGATTTTACTATGAAAATGCATTACAAATGATTTTACTATGAAAATGCATTGCAAATGATTTTACTATGAAAATGCATTGCAAATGATTTTACTATGAAAATGCATTACAAATGATTTTACTATGAAAATGCATTGCAAATGATTTTACTATGAAAATGCATTACAAATGATTTTACGATGAAAATGCATTGTAAATGATTTCACTATGAAAATGCATTGCAAATAATATTACTATGAAATGCATTGGAAATTGTTTTACTATGAAAATGCATTACAAATGATTTTATTATGAAATCTCATTACAAACAACTTAATATAAAATATTTTTTCATTCATGTTTTTTATTAAATCCGTTGCTAATTATTTTACGAGAAAAAAGAATTGCAAATGATTTTACTTTTATAAAAATCATTGCAAATGACTTTATTTTAATAGTCGTTTCAAATGATTTTACTATAATTTACTATAAGACTCATTACATTTATTTGTATTATGAAAATTCATTGCAAATGATTTTACTAGAAAATGCATGCCATATGATTTTATTATAGAAAAGCTATTCAAATTATTTTACTGTAAAAATGAGTTGATAATTATTTAACTATGAAAATACATAGCAAATGTTTTTACGATAAGAATGCTTTGCATGTAATTTTAATGAAAAATTTTTGCGCATTATTATCTCTAAAAATCCAGTGAATATTTTATAAACATTAATTTTAATGAGGTTATTTTACAACACATTGCAAATTGTTATCTCATAAAAATGCATTGTATAGGATCTTAATTTAAAAATTTTTTTGTTATCTTTTTGCTTGAATGCAATCGTAAAGCCTCTACGATTGCGTTTAAGCATGAAACAGACTGTCCGCTGGGTATTGACCTCAATGTTCACCCTTGTATTTACATCCAATGTATTCCTGATATCGACCACTCATAAATATACATTATCTTAAAACTATATTTCATAATATATACACCTTTATGCAAATTAATTGAAACAAATGTTAGTATTTTGGGGTACTTCGGTGTACTAATGAGCCAGCCAAAATGAGCTGACTCATTTTATAGTTCACCAATAGAAGGGTTAACCAATCAGAAGGCTCAAAATATTCAATGCGACGTGTATAAAGGCGGCCATGTTTTTTTTCCGAATATTCACTGCCAGCCTTTGATATCGAAGACTGAAAAATTACGGAACAGCTGCTGGTGGTATTGGCGATATAGTCAGATTCAGTTGAGTGAGTGTTAATCTTTAACGTTGTTTCATTGAACAGATTACGTACTGCGCTGTATTCTATATTCATAGACTATGGTGAACATGGTTAACAAAAAAACGAATAATTCCGTTATTATTTACGTTTTTCGTATCTTTCCAATGAAACATGACCCAGTGCACATGTCAATAATTTGTATGTCCATTCCACGAAATCGCTCATTGACCACAGATTCTCGATTGTATTTAAATCAGGATAATTTCCGAGCCAGTCGATAGTAATTTCTTTTTGTCAGTTTTCATACACTTCCTTGGAGTAACGTCCACGGCAGAAAATAGCCGTAGGACAACTAATCGACAGTCGAGACAATAGTGTCTGATAAAAATCTGATGCAATCACGGATAACGCGATATTTTTCAAGGGCAAACAAATTTCATCATACACCCCGAAAATAGATTCATATTACTGCAAACCACTGCAAATGACCTAATCTGAGGTAAAAATAGAAATCGATTACACCCTGTCACTCTATTATATATGAATGAAATAAATATTTTATACGAATTGTTTATAATGAGATTTCATAATAAAATCAGGAACCTGCTATTTTAAGTTGATTTACTTCGCTTCCCACTACATATTGGACAGGAAATATATAAATCAATACATAGGAATTATATCAATAAATACACATTCATAATTATATGGTCATATGATTATTATTATCATTATTATTATTATTATTATTGGGTATACTCATTTCTTTTCGAGTCCCAAACAGAGACCTAAGGTCAAAAATGGCATCATGACATATTCTTCAGACCATTTTTAGAGAGAAAAACAAAAGAGAAAAACAAACTTATATCACATATATTTTACATAGAAAAAGCCCTTCGTAAAGTGTGGGCTGTACTTGTGAGTAATTTTTTTTGTATTCCTTTAAGGCATGGGATACCAGGAATCCCATCAATGAATCTATCGAAACCTTTCCTAATCAATCCGAGGACTCCAACTACAACTGGCATTGTTGATATGTTTATGTGCCATATTTTTTTAGATTTCGATTTCAAGGTCCATGTATTTTGATCTTCAAAAGATACGTTACAGTCTACAGGGACAGTCATGTCAATAAGAAGACATTTTAGTTTTGTGGTCTCCAATCACGATCTCTGGTCGATTAGCTGTGATTGTTCTATCTGTGTGCATTGTAAAGTTCCATAAAATTCCTACAAGTCCTATGTCTCTAAGCGGATCTGGGTGGTGTTCATACTAATTTCTTGCAGTTTCCTTTCCGTAAAAGTTGCAGATTATTATTATTGTTTTTATTTCCTTTTTCTGGTGTGTACACATTTCTTTCCGGGTCCCGCTCAGAGACATCATGACACTTTCCACTGACAAAAATAAAAAAAAAATTACATAGATAAAGCCGTTCGTAAAGTGTAGGCTGTACTTGTCAGAACAATTTTTTTTTATCTCTTTGAGGCATGGACTTCCAGGAATCCCTTCAATTAGTCTACTGGAATATTTTCCAACCAATTCTAGGGCTCCAACTACAATAGGGATTGTGCCACATTTTTGAGATTTCGATTTCAAGGTCCTTGTATTTTGACAGCTTTTTGAATATCTTCAATGATACATTGCAGTCTGCAGGGACTGCCATATTGTTATGGTCCAGGTTAGGACCAAGGAAGAACAACACGAACACAAGAGTAGAAATAACGATGGTATATTACACGAAATAATAATACAAGATGTGGATGGTGTTAGTATGACTGTCAGTCTGGTTTGGAGTGAACTACTATCGGCTCGACTCGATTCGGTATCTAGCCCCCCCACGATGGTTGCATGTGGCACAAGGCCGAGTTTAACGTGAGTTTCCCGAGTCCGTAGGCTCGGCCAAAAAATGCCTGTAGAACCCGTATAAACGGGATCGGGTTGGTCAACCTCCCCTAACGAGGCTCTGCCCTTCGGGTTCCTCTCTGCTCAGAGGCAGAGAGTTCGACCGTCAAGCCGAGAAGCTCGGCTTGATCCGACCCTCTCTCTTGAGAGGTGTAGTATACATAGTGTTAGGAAGAGTTCATTCTGTAGTTATAGGTAAGGACCCATGACATATATCAATAAGGAAGCACTTTTATTATTATTATTATTATTATTTCATTGATATATTTGCACAACATATAGGTAAATGCTGGAGACGAGGTGATAGAATATTTCCTCAACCCTTCCGCACCTTACCTAGTATCATCGCAAACAGCAGCAAATGTTAACAGTGTCAGTATTATTCTACTTAATGGGTTTCCATCGTAACACCAGATCTGAAGATTGAATTACAGCAAGTCTTCTCAAATTACCCACAACCTTCTCAGTATCCTTGCAGACGCCATTATTGGCAACGCCCTACGCGTTTCAGAAATTTCTAATATATCAAGATTTTTCTTTTGTTATCGTATTATGCATTGGCCGTTCACATCAGTAGAAATTAGTGGCTGAAAATTAAGATCATGTGACAACTCTCCTCAGGATTTTTTATGAGTTTTTTTCCCAGAATTTTCTGATGGATTTCAAGGCGAATCAAGTGACAGTAACTCTCTCTCTCTCTCTCTCTCCGATACTCCAGCACCTTCCTCAGTATTTTTATGAGTTTTCCTCCAAAATTATCTGATGGATTTCAATGCGAATCAAGTGACAGTAACTCTCTCTCTCTCTCTCTCCGATACTCCAGCACCTTCCTCAATAATTTTTACGAGATTTTCTCCAAAATTATTTGATGGATTTCAATGCGAATCAAGTGACAGTAACTCTCTCTCTCTCTCTCTCTCTCTCTCTGATATTCCAGAACCTTCCTCAGTATTTTTTATGAGATTTTCTCCAAAATTATCTGATGGATTTCATTGGGAACCACGTGACAGGAAGTCTCCTCAACACTCCACCATTCTCCTTAATGTTTTAACATTTTTCAGTACTTTTGTCATTTACATATTCCTGACACTTCCTCGACTGCCGATTCCCCAACCTGTTTTTCTTGGAACTTCAGAAATTTTCCTTGGATCTTCCACACTTTTCGTCTATCTTCAATGACACAATTATTATTATCGTTATTCCAACGTACAATCACCGAAGTTAAGCAACGTCGAGCTTGGTCTGTACCTAGATGGATGATCACTTGGGAATACCAAATGCTGTAAGTTTGGATGTGAGTTTTGTATAAAAGACTTACGGGCATATCATATAGAAACACCAGTTCTATTTCAATCACCGAAGTTAAGCAACGTCGAGCCTGGTCAGCACCTAGATGGGTGACCGCTTGGGAATACCAGGTGCTGTAAGCTTGGATGTGAGTTTTGTATAAATGATTTATGGTCATATCATATAGAAACACCAGTTCTATTTCGATCCCCGAAGTTAAGCAACGTCGAGCCTGGTCAGCACCTAGATGGGTGACCGCTTGGGAATACCAGGTGTTGTAAGCTTGGATGTGTGTTTTGTATAAAAGACTTACGGTGATATCATATTGAAACATCAGTTCTATTTCGATCCCCGAAGTTAAGCAATGTCGAGCCTGGTCAGTACCTAGATGGGTGACCGCTTGGGAATTCCAGGTGCTGTAAGCTTGGATGTTCGTTTTGTATAAAATACTTACAGCCATATATTGAAACACTAGTTCTATTTCGATCCCCGAAGTTAAGCAAAGTTGAGCCTGGTCAGCACCTAGATGGGTGACCGCTTGGGGATACCAGGTGCTGTAATCATCCGTATGCAGTTGGTGTAGTGGATAATGGTTGAGACCTATATGCTTCACTCACTTGAAACCATTTTAAACGATCGATCCGAGAAGACGGTTGTACAGAGTTAACAGTGTAGGTCTTTCTGAATAATTTTGGTGTCATGAATGGCATTCATATAAAAGTCTCAATCTAACGAGCCCATTTAAGAACATAACTTAAGTTTTCAGGTTTTGGTTTAGTAGCAACTTGTGGTGTTATGTGAAACTATCCCCAGCACAGTCCATTCTTTGTTCAATTTCCTTATCTTTTATACTAAATTTGTTATAATTGATCCATATACTGAGGTATTTGAAGGGTTTAGCATTTACCAATTCTACATCCTGGATTTTCATGATGGATTCAAGGCAGGTGGCATTTGCTGCTTTATTCCAATTCCAGATCATAGTTTCTGTTTTGGAAAGGTTTATCTTGAGTATTACGTCTTGGAACACTTAGCAGAGGATGCATTTTTTCTGCATCATTCTTATCCCAACTGTGAACATCCTATATCATCAGCATAGCCCACCTCATTGGACTCGGGAGGGAAAGCAGGTATGTTGTTTTCTATTAACAGATTCGTTTAAGATGTGGTATGGAATGCTGAAATGATCAGTGCCAATAATTACCTAATTTAATTATATTTAATCATATAGAAACATTAGTTCTATTTCGATTCTCGAAGTTAAGCAACGTCGAGCCTGGTCAGTAACTAGATGGATGACTGTGTTTGTATATGTTCAGATTCTAAATTCTAAATAGAATAGGAGGATTCATTGCTTCCTTCTCATACTACTGATGAGGCTTTTTATGGTGGATTCATGATAATTGCCATCGATGCTTTCATTCCAATTCCAGTTCATTCTGTTTTGGAAAGGTTTATCTCAAGTGCCATTTTTTGGGAACATTTGGTAGAGGATGCAGATTTTCTGTTCAAGATCATTCTAGTCTCAGCTTTGAACACCTATGTCATCAGCATAACCCACCCACCTCCATACTCTATACATTGACCGTGGGATGGGGAATGTTTTTTTTTTGTATCTTCATGACCTTTCTTAGTGCTTCAATGACATATTATTAGCATTATTCCAAGATTTCTTTCTCTTTCATTCACTTAAAGTTTGACTTAACGAGAAAAGATAAGCAAAAAAAAAAAAAAAAAAATATGAGGAAGTACATTTTTTCGTTTGTCTGTTTTGTTTTTTCGACAAGAGACGATCCACTTTGTTGGCATGAAAAATATAATGTCTGTTTTGATTAGCTTAATAAAAGATGCGCAAACCAGCTTTCAATGCTGATTTTAAAAAAAATCTTAAAAGAATGGGGTAAAAGAAAAAACGTATGAAAAAGGTTGGCTAAAGAAGTAAAAACCCATGCTTATTGCATTGCTACTGCCATTCATTTAATATACGCATTCTTGTGGATGGAACTTAAATTTGATTTGTCCATGAGGACTGCAATATCTGTCAAAAGGAAAATGAATTTCATCATTTAATAATGCGCAGACATTTGGCCTTTTGTCACACAATACTAAGTTTGTTTATTTAACACATGATATAACAGATAGGATTTATTAAAAGTCAATCAAAACTTTCATTTACTTTATAGTTATATAGCAAATACTAAAAGCATAGATAGAAACTCAGTGGAAATGATTTTACTATAGGAATGCATTGCAAATCATTTACTAGTCATTTATGTAAGCTGTTTTTATCACTGATAGGATTTCTTAAACAAATCCATCCAAACTTTCATTCCCTCTAATGATTACATATATAGTGACATAGCAAATACTAAAAGCATAGATAGAAATTCATTGCAAATGATTTTACTATAGGAATGCATTGCAAATTATTTACTAGCCATTTATGTAAGCAGTCTTATCACTGATAGGATTTATTAAACAAATCCATCCAAACTTTCATTCCCTCTAATGATTACATATATAGTGATATAGCAAATACTAAAAGCATAGATAGAAATTCATTGCAAATGATTTTACTATAGGAATGCATTGCAAATGATTTACTAGCCATTTATGTAAGCAGTCTTATCACTGATAGGATTTATTAAAAAAATCCATCCAAACTTTCATTCCCTCTAATGATTACATATATAGTGATATAGCAAATACTAAAAGCATAGATAGAAATTCATTGCAAATGATTTTACTATAGGAATGCATTGCAAATTATTTACTAGCCATTTATGTAAGCTGTTTTATCACTGATAGGATTTATTAAACAAATCCATCGAAACTTTCATTCCCTCTAATAATTACATATATAGTGACATAGCAAATACTAAAAGCATAGATAGAAATTCATTGCAAATGATTTTACTATAGGAATGCATTGCAAATTATTTACTAGCCATTTATGTAAGCTGTTTTATCACTGATAGGATTTATTAAACAAATCCATCGAAACTTTCATTCCCTCTAATAATTATATATATAGTGACATAGCAAATACTAAAAGCATAGATAGAAATTCATTGCAAATGATTTTACTATAGGAATGCATTGCAAATTATTTACTAGCCATTTATGTAAGCTGTCTTATCATTTTTTTTTTAAATTTGATTCAAATTACTCAATTTATAGCTGCATTGTGAAATTCAATTTGCTAGCCCGCAATAAAATATGTGGTTCAATAATTATGAATTAGGCACGTTCATCTTCAAATACGATATTTCTTATTTTGGGTGGAAAGAAGGCGTGGACGCCGATCAAACATTTCCTTGGGGTGTGGGGCATAAAAAAGGCGGAAACACCTGCCCTAGGTTATAGAATCAACTAATCTACATCCAGTAAACCTTTTATAATCACCGTCCCCACAGGCGGTCGTAATTCGCTACGACTTTCTTTTCTTTAATATCTCCAGATTCTCGACAAAATCCAAAGACGGATATGCAAAGTGATAGGTCCTCACCTGGCATCTCGACTACAGTCACTTTCTTACAGACGTGATGTGGCTTCCCTCTGTCTTTTCTACAAGTATTTTCATGGCAACTGCTCTGACGAGCTACTTTCAATGGTACCCCACCTGCATGAGTTTAAGCGTGCTACTAGGTTGGCATCTCGGTCCCACTCTTTCACTGTCGAAACGGTTGGCTGTAACCACCTCTTCTACTTCAACAGCTTCTTCTTTCGCACTTCCCGACAGTGGAACTCCCTTCCTCTTACTTGCTTCCCTGATAGCTATAATCTTTAAATATTCAAATGTAATGTCAATCGACATCTTCTGATGTTTTGCTCCTGATCACCGTCCTTCTCTATATTCTTTCCACAAACACTCCTCTTTACTCTCACTCTTAATAACCTATTGCGTGGTAGTGGTACTGTCGCCTTGTTTCGTGTGAAATGCTTAAAAAAATGTGTCATGTTTTCTTGGGAAAGATAGTGGAGTGGTTTCCTGTTGCCTTCTGCATGGTTTAGAATTCAGAATAGTCAGTCTCCCCTCAGGACGTAGACGATTATGGCTCTCCACAGATTCCTTTTCTCTGTTATAACTTGCCATGATTTCTTGGCAAAAAATAGTGGAGTGGTTTTCCCTTACTTTCTTCACAGTTTAGAATTCAGAGTTGTTGCAGTTTTTTTGTGTATCATGTACTAGTGAGCTAGCCCAAATGACTTGACTCACTTTATAGTCCACCAATAGAAGGTTAACCAATCAGAAGACGTAGAATATTCAATCTGTCGTGTATAAAGGCGGCCATTTTGTTTACTCTATCCGAATGTCCAGTACCAGCTTGTCAGGCGAAGAGGAACAGAAGGAAGAACTACGCTCTGCTACTTTACCGGGATATCCACTGCTAACCTGAACAACGCTTTCCTACTGTCTTCGAAATATTCACTGCTAACCTCTGGATTCAATGCTCGAAGACGACCGTTGTCATGAACAACAAGAGTAGTTCTTCTCCCTTCAGGACGGAGGCGATCGTGGCTCTCCACAGATTCCTTTTCTTTGTTATCTATGAATTGCCATGCGTTCTTGGGAAAGTTAGTAGAGTGGTTTCCTGATATTTTGCACGGTTTTCGAATTCAGAGCAGTCTTTCTTTTAGACTGTTTACCACCCAAGGCAAGAGAGTCCAGTTTACCCTACTATTTACTGAGGCGGGAGCAAGAGGTGGATTTACGTTTTTCCCAACGGGTTAATGTGAAGTGAACGCAGCCGACTAGGCAGTTATTTGAACTCGGCTCGCTAATTGTACTCTTTGCGTCGGTGACTGTTACGCCACCCGGCGGTGATTTGGACAACTGTCAGGGCTTAAAGACCATACCGTCGGAGATATTGACTATTGTGGCGAGGGAGAGAATTGTGACTAATAAAATTGACAGCAGTGACGAAGCGTGGCATTGTTTTATTTATGCTTTCGTTGGTTTGTTGTATTTTTGTTGCTGTTGTTGTTGCTGATGATGTCAGACCATTCAAATGGGGCTGTTGGTATTGGATAAGATACTTATGGTGATAACGAAGATTGCCGGGTAGATGGACTGACTGCAAAACGACACCCACTTCCTCTCAGCCGTAAGTTGAAAAAAAAAACAATTTGATGCTTGGGAAGATTATGATAATAAAGCAGTTTGTTTTTGAACCCGACGTCTGAGTCGCACCTGTTTTCATTGCGTCTGCTCTTCAAGTCCCAACTGCCCGCTTCCCCGTCTTGTTTGTGTTGAGTCATCACCTTCGTTGTGTCACCACAACCGCCGTGAATCCACCTCAGTTGACACCCGGCACTTCCACGTTCAACTGACCCCACCCTTCTGTTCAGACGATGCCGTGACTGTTTTATTTATTTATTTAATTTTTTTTCTTTCTCATTTCCGTGTCCCTTTGTTGGTCTTGTATTGGGGTCCCGAGAAATTAAAAAAAAAAAATAACTCGAGTTGGGACAGGAAAGGAGACAAGACCAGAGAATATTATTGACAACGTAGACATTGTTCTCATAATATCATATCGTGAACAAAGGATGTTTACCAAGCTGAGTCAGGCAGAATTCTACAAGGGCGCGTACTGAGAATCGAACTTACGACGCACTCGCTTTAACGAGCACGATGATTACTACCCGACGATAGGGAGCTCGCAAAATATTTCAAGTAACTACTTACCTAGCTTAGTCTGACACATAAAACAATAATACGCTTAATTTTTTTGTCAATCATTTCACTCTAGGCAAGATAATAAGCCACTAAGACGCAAGGGGTTACTAAGACTGAAAGACAGGGGGATAATAAAAGAACAGGGTCCAAACAGACAGAAGATAATGATCAACGTTTCATTTAATTTTTTGAAGATCGCAGTTGACAGAAAAGCAAGAGCGAAAGAAGAGAGTTCCACAGGCGAGAAGTGCGAGAGGAGAAATTGTTAGCCTAGAACTTATGATCATATGTAACGATGTCCACTGTGAAATGATGGGACCTAGCTGTTAATCAAGTAGTGCGCTTAAATTCGATGTACCAAAGAGCATTATCAGAACAGCATGAATATATTTATAGAAGGAGACACATAAAAGATGATATGCAAGTCCAGGACGAATAACATTGATTATACTTCTTTGGGGTTTTTTTGTTGTTTTTTTTTGGGGGGGGTAATAATCTCTTGATGCAGAACAGGAGGACAAGACAGCAATATTTAAAGGACAGATTTAAAGGTCGACATATAAATGCATAAGATTCTGTCGAAAGAAAAAAAAAGTGTAGAGCGACACAGTGACCCAACTTTCTTAGCAACAGGCTTATCAACTGATCCAATATAATCATTCTAATTCATGTCAAACGAAAAAAGGGCGGCCTGAGAAGGCGCAACGCTTTACGCATACTAAACCGAGCGTAGGTTATACAGTGCTGTTCGATAAAAGTGACACCTGATTTTTTTTTTTTTTTTACTAAGTGTTCTCTTCTCTGGTGAAACGAAAGTTGAGCTAAATTCAAAGGATAAGCGATCTAAAATCCAAAGAAAAACCTTTGAAAGCTCTTTGAATTTAGCAGTAAGTACTGTTAAGCATCCGTTCTGAGGATGATTTTTCTTTTCATGTAACTGGTTTCTTAAAACCTATTGAAAACCCCTCAGGAGCGAAGTACAAGAGAATTTTAAGTCTTGTCTGCTCCTTCTGTTGAAAGGGTGCAAATCGACCCCAGAAGCTCATTTTTATACGGGATAATGTTCCCTGTCACAAATCAAAACACTTGATCTGCTTACTTTGATCAAAGTATTCAGGTCAATTTTGTTTTGACAGGGAGCCCCATTATCCTGCCGCAAAATGATTGAAAACTTATGGAGCTTTCAAAAGAAGGGAGTCAGACAAGACTCTAAAATTTTGTACTGCATGCTCCTGAGGGTTTTTTCAATAGGTTTCAAGAAAACCAGTTCATGAAAAAGAAAAGCATCCCCAGAACATTATGCTGAACGGATGCTTGATAGTACTTACTGCTAAATTCAAAGAGCTTTCAAGCTTCTTCTTCGGATTTTAGATCGCTTATCCTTTGAATTTAGCTCAACTTTCGTTTCATCGGAGAAGAGAACATTTAGTAAAAAAAAAAAAAATCAGGTGGGTTACTTTTATCGAACAGCACTGTACTTGGTGAGGAACAAATTCAGTACACAGTGTTAATCGTCTCCAAACTATCTTTGATTGTCATTAACTATCAATGAGGAGCTTGTTGAGGGATACTAAATGGCGGAGATAGGGAACGAATTAGCGTTTCCTTAAAAAAAGAGCGAGAATGGGACAAGTTTTATATTCAAGTACCTTGGACTATAAAACTGACATAGGGTACCAAATATATTAATTACATAACTGATATACAAGAGTTCAACATATTGTCTAAGATTTTTGCATTTCCCTACATGTTACGATGATCAAACATAGCTGTAGATATCTTACGTACACGATATTTACTTAACCCCCCCCCCCACGAGGTCAGGTTGTGACACAAGGACGGTTTAATGTGAGGAGCCCGAGCGCGTGCACCCGGGCAAGGAACAAAAATTCCCCGATCCCCCTCAACGGTCGTTTGCGCTGGTCTCGGTGTGTGCACCGATCCTTCTCTCTAGTGCAATGAGAAGGCGCGGCCTCGGGCAGCTGTTCCCCAGGGCCAGTCACCTCTTCAGTATAATTTTCCTCAGTTGCGACTCTGTCAGATATCTTATGTACACTGACCCAAAGTTGCCCGTGAGCTATAGTTATAGCTCTCTTTATGCTAATTGCCTATTAGATAAACCAATCCCATTACATCTCACTGAATCTTTTGTTTCACATTCTGTGTGAATCTACAGCTTCTTCTATATTCCCTCCCTCTCTCACTAGTTTCAAGAATATTTCTCATCATTGGGGACCTTGATCTAGTTCTTTTATTCTCAGTGTTCCATGTTACGAACTCTGAGTCTTCCGAAGAATTTTGATCGTCCATTGGTTCCACTGCCTTGCTTTTCTTTTCTACATATTTATTTGAACTAGTTTCGCTTTGTACTTCCTCGTAAATTTGGCTAGTTCTTAATTGGTCTACATAGGCAATATGTACAATGATCTTATGTACACTGATCCAAAGTTGCCCGTGAGCTATAGTTATAGCTCTCTTTATGATAACTGCCTATTAGATAAACCAATCCCATTAGATCTCCCTGAATCACTTGGGTTTCACGCTCTGCGTTGATTTAAGGTTTCACCGATATTCCCTCCTACCTCTCACTGGTTTTAAGAGTATTTCTCGTTATGGCGGACCTTGATCTAGTTCTTTTATTCTCAGTGTCCCATGTTCCGTACTCCGAGTCTTCTGAAGAACTTTGATCGTCTATTGGTTTCTCTGCCCTTCTGTCTTAGTCATCTAAATCGTCATTCGAACTAGCTTCGCGTTGTACCTTCTTGTAAATTTGGCTACCTCTTAATTGGCCGGCATGGGCTGTTAGACATTTTCATGACGGTCGTCCTCGAGTATAGAATCCAGAGGTTGGCAGTGAATATTTCGGAGACAGTAGGAAAGCGTAGTGCAGGTTCGCAATGGATATCACAGCAAGGTAACAGAGCGTAGTTCTTCCGTCTGTCCTGTTCGCCGGACAAGTTACCTCTGGTCAGGTTGGTAGGAAAACAAAGATGGCCGCCTTTATACACGATGGATACAGTGTTGTGCGGCTTCTGACTGGTCAACCTTCTATTGGTCGACTATAAAGGGAAATAAGTCATTCTGACTCGCTCACTAGTTATATACACATATATACCCAAAAAACCGTAACATGGGCAACACATCCGTTTCCGCCCAATGCAAAAGTTCATCTTCAACTTTTATTTATGTTTTTTTCGTTTTGTTCCTTTTCAAATTGTAGTTGTGACAACGCGTCTATACGTTGTATCGTGTTTCCCTTTACGTATTCTGTATCATAATCAAAAGCCATTAACTTTATAGCCCATCCTAATATTCTGGCTGATGTAATATTCGGCATTTCCTTCCTAGGATGGAATATAAATTCGAAAGGCTTATGATCAGATCTCAACAAAATTTTCTTCCTAATTAAAATTGTCTTGCTCTAGTCATACTCCACTCAAACTCACCCCGCAATGGCCAAAAATAGATCCATGATTTCCCTCTGTCTTTCAGGTGTTTGGTCATCTCGTAACTCCTTTATTCTGGCACGTGACTCAAAACATTTTATGCAAATCATTACGTTTTCAGGTTCTTCTGTGTTCAACAGAGCTCCATCAGGCGACGCCATTTTGTTATGATAATCAAACATATTAGCCGTTGATATTCCACGTTCCCAGAAAGTTGCCCGTGAGCTATAGTTATAGCTCTCTTTATGCTAATTACCTATTAGCTAAAACAATCTAATTATACTAAACAAAAGCAAATACAAGCTTCTAAAGTCATTTGCTTTGTCTGTAACCGCTCTAAAATTTTAACTCTATGAGACGTGTTGTACAGTCTTTCTATCAATCGGAATTGAATTAATTCTTCCTTTGTGCTTATTTCTTGTCCTAGTTCATGGAATTCACCATATCTGCTGGTATCTCTTAAACTTCATAGATATTTCCTTATAGGCTACCCAAATTCTTGTTTCAATGCTAAGAATTTGATTCGTTTGGTTATGATCAATCTTTTCTTTGGTTGAATATTTCTCAATATTATTTCTTTGACTCAGCCGGTTAAGTCATTAACGAAATCTACCTAATGGCTTCACATCTCCCAATAAACCATATCGACTCCACCGTCAAGAAGAGTTTAAGTTACAGTGGCATGGACAACAATCTCTCCACTGTCATCCTACGCGTTACCACCTGAGTTAAAAGATGAAAAAGGTAGAGAGAGGACAGTATGGGCTGGCAACGTCGCTGAGTGAACGGGAAGATTATATATCGAGATTGACATGCAACCAAGACATTTAAAGGGAGATGGTCATGTGCTCACCTGCGCAATGACCCTACGACCACAGCTGGTCATGGGATTAATGATGATGATGATGTGAAGGTCATAATCGACAACGAGATAGCAGCCATTGCATATGGGGCTGAATGTGCGTATCTATGTATCTATCTATCTATCTATCTATCTCTTTTTCTCTTTTGATCTCTTTTTCTCTTTTTCTCTCTTTTTCTCTCTTTATATATATATATATATATATATATATATATATATATTTCAGCCGTTGTGATCTCCGGCCTTCTTCAGGTGTCTATCGGTCCGCGTAAACTTTAGAAAATTTCATACTGGAATCTGTCTCTCATCTACAAAACGTTGGTTCATGAACTTGGTGGACTCTCCCATCGTATTTGACGTATGAGGGTCAATCAGCTCAGTTCCCAGGAAACCGACAGCCCAGACACCAGCACATATGATTTGATTATAGTGGTGAAGGTTTTGCGCAGAACCCTCCACACTTTTTGAAAGGCGGAATACAGAGACCCGGTGCACTACCTGCTACATGCCACAAGGTCCCCAAACGACCCTCAATAGGTTTTGAATTCAGAGTTGTCCTTCTCCTAGACCAGTTGCCATCCAAGACTATAGAACCCAGTCTGCCCTGCTATTTACCCATAGCTGGAGGGAGAAGAAAAAGGATTAAGTCTTTTCCCAAGGGTATTAGCACGTAAGTGAAAGTATTCGACTGTAATTCGAACTCGGCTCTCCGATTCCTCAATCCGAGCCACTACTCCACCACGCCTCTTATTCATGAACTTAGTGACACCGTAATTGTGAGTTCATTCTCTAGGCATGGGAGTACAAACTTGGAGTCCGTGAAAAAAGAGGGGTGGAATAACGAAGCAGTACTAGAAAGGGTTATCTCCTCTATAGATAGACAGCGGGAAAAGAACATTCTTTCACCCTTGATTAAATAAAGTGTTCCGTTCAAAATTCCCTGAAAGCTGCCTGGAACGATAGACACGTAATGAAGGCCGACGGGTGTGGTACTTATTTCGCAATGTTCTTTGTATTAATTTGAATCATAGGGTGAAAGTTACCCGATTCGTGAATTTATTTATTTTATTTTATTTATTTTTTTACTTCTTTTATATTTCAGGTTTATATGTTTATCTATCTGCTCGGAAGGAAAGATATGATTAGTATCTATCTATCTATCTATCTATCTATCTATCTATCTATCTATCTATCTATCTATCACGATATGTTCATTATCTATCTATCTATCTATCTATCTATCTATCTATCTATCTATCTATCACGATATGTTTATTATCTCTCTCTCTCACTCTCTATCTTTTACAATATGTTTATTATCTATCTATCTATCACGATATGTTTGTTATCTATCTCTCTGTATATATATATATATATATATATATATATATATATATATATATATCACGGTATGTTTACTATCTCTCCCTCTCTCTCTCTCTCTCTATCTATCTATCTATCTATCTATCTATCACGATATGTTTATTATCTATCTATCTCTCTCTATATATATCTATATATCACGGTATGTTTATTATCTATCTATCTATCTATCTATCTATCTATCTATCTATCTATCTATCTATCTATCTATCTATCACGATATGTTTATCTATCTATCACGATATGTTTATTATCTCTCTCTCTCTCTATCTATCTATCAATCACGATATGTTTATCTATCTATCTATCTATCTATCTATCTATCTATCTATCTATCTATTACGATATGTTTGTTATCTATCTATCTATCTATCTATCTATCTATCTATCTATCATGCAAATGATAAGCGTAACTTCAACTGTAATGAAAACGGTACACTTTGTTTCATTAAAGTAGGAAAATTCAGTCATAAGTAAAGTCAACACCCACGTGCACCATGTAACTACGGACTGACATTAAATGTTAGCTATTCGTATCCCATTAAAAAAAAACGAATGTTAAAGAAAATGTGAAAGTTTGCTAAAAAGAAACACAAATCATTCACAAAAACAAACCTAACGACAACAAAATGTCTCTCCCAAATTTGTGCCAGAGGTTTTAAACGTTTGCCTCATTTAAAGAGCTATATTCGTTTAAAGCCTAATTGAGTTCTCATCCAAGTTTTAGAAATGAGATGCTACACCACAGCCCTAGGCATCTTCTCCGTAAACCGCATCACATATGACGCAGTTCCAAACAAGAAAGACTTTAGATGTACTCTACCGTCAAGAAGAGTTAAAGATAAAATGGCATGGACACGTTATATGAGACTTTAGTGAGGAGAAAGGCCAATAAAAGAACAGTTTTCAGGAAGACAGAAAATGGCGATAATGCCACTAAGACGCAAGGGGTTACTGGGAGTGAAAGAGAATGAAAAGACTTTAGCGGGGAGGAAGGGGAATAAAAGAACAGGGTTCAGGATGAGAGAAAATGGCTATAATGCCACTAAAACGCAAGGGGTTACTTAGTGTGCAAGAGAATAAGAAGACTTTATTGAGTGAAAGGACACTAAAAGAACATTTTTCAGGAAGACAAGATGGTGATAATGCTACTAAAACGCAAGGGGTTACTGGGAGTGAAAGAGAATGAAAAGATTTTAGTAAAGAGAAAGGACAAAGAAGAATTGGTTTCAGGAAGACAAAAGATGGCAATTGGCGTTGCATTTAAATCTTTGAATGTTGTATCTGACAGCCACTCATGAAACCGGAAGAGAGTTCCACAGTCGAAAAGTACGAGAAAAGATAATATTTGTATATAACAGCCGGTTGCATCTAGCTATTTTAACAGTCAGACTGTTAGACATAATTAAAAATGTAGTAGCGAGATTAAATGAATACCGTCGAGGCACTAAAGGGGGAAGACATTTCAGAACAAGTGACATGAAACTATATGTAGAAAAGCAAAGGGAAGGCCACGTGATGCTGAGGAGAAATTGACTGAAATCGAGGAGCCAGGTCGGGATCGATTACATTACAAATCCTTCTTTGAATTTTGTTAAGAATCTTTAAATATATTGTCGGATCATCAGACCAGATACAACATCAGTATTCAATGCACAAATAAATCTTAGATGCATTCTGGTGAGAGAAATTGTCTTGCACGAGACAGTGAACCAACTTTCTTAGCAGAATGTCTGCTTTACAGTGAAATTCGTTAGTAAAAAATGTTTCATTGTTTGAATTGGTTTGTTTTTGTTTATTTTTTATGGCTTATCAACCCTTTCTGGGTTATTTAAAGCATTTTTTAAAAGATTTTATGAATAATTCTATTTTGTGAGTGAACATTATATTAACAATTTTTTGAAGATAACAAAAGGTTTTCTACGTACATGTCCTACTGTTTCACCCATACCTGGGGGAGATAGAAAGAGGTAGATTTATATCTTTCCCAAAGATATTTGCGAGTAAGTGAATGTCAGGAAGTCGACTGTAATTCGAACTCTGCTCTCTGACCAAATGACCGATGACCAAATACAAATGTCTGTCAGCGGCGTTGATAAAAGCTCTGGCCGAGGAGAAGTGAATAAGTCAGCTGCTCATGACTGAGCTAATAATAATAATAATAATAATAATAATAATGTTGGATAATAATAATAATAATAATAATAATGTTGGATAATAATAATAATAATAATAATAATAATAATAATAATAATAATAAATACTATTACTGAATAATAACAATAATAATAATGATATTGAATAATAATATCGGACGGATGGTGCCAATGAATTGGACACTTTTTTACCCTAATTATAATTCTGTAACTGATATTATGGTACAAGGAAGCTAGTGAGTAGATACATATATCCAAATTCGGATTCTACGTAGTGAAAAATGTATGATTTGACACTAAGATCATTCAAATAGGACAATTATTTGCGTAAGGCGATATTTTTGTATATTCAATGGCTTCCATCTTGAAAATGGCCGCCATCTCGAATTTTTTGGTCGCTAACTGGTTTTGTAAAAAGAACAATCCCCAAGGAGTATGTGTGTCAATTATGGTGCTTGTTTCCGGAAATAAAAGATTGTTACAGTAATCTGCTCCACTAGTAGACTTCTCAAGTTGCAGGACAGACTCTGGTGAGAGAAATTGTCTTGCACGAGACAGTGAACCAACTTTCTTAGCAGAATGTTTGTCTGCTTTGCGGTGAAATTCGTTAGTAAAAGATGTTTGATTGATTGAATTGATTTGTTTTTTTGTTTATTTCTTATGGCTTATCAACCCTTTCTGGGTTATTTTTTTTAGATTTTATGAATAATTCTATTGTGTGAGTAAGCATTGTATTAACAATTTTTTAAAGATAACAATGAGTTTTCTACGTACATGTCCTACTGTTTCACCCATACCTGGGGGAGATAGAAAGAGGTAGATTTATACCTTTCCCAAGGATATTTGCGAGTAAGTGAATGTCAGGAGGTAGAATGTAATTCGACATCCGCTCTCTGACAGAATGTACAGACGAATGTTAGATTTATAAATGTGCAAAACGAATTCTGAGAAGAAATATTGTCTGACGCGGCACAGTGAACCAACTTTCCTAGCAGTAGACCTTGCAAATGATTCAATATAATGACGCCACTTCAATCCAGTGGGAAACGTAAGCCACATAAGACGCAAAGGGATGGTCTACTGGAGGTTAGCACCTATAATAACTATCTCGCTTGTTTGCTATTGTGGCATGTGGAGGGACTTCCTTGCTTTGCTCGATACAGCAGTAACAGTATCGAAAGTTACTAGCAGAAACAACCGGAAGTTCAATAACTCATAAAACCGCTGACTGAGCCCTGTTCGGCGACCTTTTCCACTTTTACTTTTCAGCGGCCGCTACCTTCAAGGCCAGCTCGAAGGACTACTCACAACCTTCACTGCAGAAGAGACGAAACAATCCTGGCAGCTTGGCGCAGTGATTTCTCGTTCGACGTAGGTACAAGCTGAAAAATCCCCCTTCGAGACACCTACCCAAGGGAAAAACTACCCACAACCCTTGCTGCAAAAGAACCGTACCAATCTTAGCAGACTGACACTTAGATTTCTCGTTCCTCATGGGAACAAGCGAAGAAATCTCTCCCTACGAAACATCTACTCGAGTGAAGAACTCTGTTAATTGAGAAACCCAACTTTTTTCCTGAAAAGTACAAGTTATTTTTGTTTGTTCTTTTTTTTTACTCTCTTTTCAACCACAAATAAAAGCTGTTAAACAGTTATTTCGAGCCTTAGGTTTGATCATTCCAATCTATACACTGCCGAGCACACACAACCACACGTGCAACCGGGAAAATCCCTACACATCAACTATGCTGATGGTAGACAGAAAAGGTTATCTATGGTGATTAACTGACAGAAGGAATAGTCAGGGAAGCATTAAAATTTATAAGCCATTCCTTGTCCTAATTAACCAATAATTGGAGGTCCTTTTCGGCAGCAGTGGCCAATTTTACTTTGCCGTCTCAGTCGGACTTGTTACTAAGACAGGAGTAAATAGTTGCGTCATCTGCTTAAGTATTTAGTTGGGAAATGATGACATCGCCGATGAAGATCAAAAACAGCGTAGATCCAAAGATAGAACTCTGGGGAGGGGACCCTCGCATTAGAGCAGAAAATAATTCAGCAGCCACAATTCAGTGATTTTGAACTTTTTCTCTCTCTCTTATATATATATATATATATATATATATATATATATATATATATAGGTTTAAACACTAATATTCCATGGTTATTAGTGTTTAAGCCTTTTTATTATATCCTTACTCTGTCCTGGACATTGAGTTCTACCTGGATTCTATCCTCTTGGAATAATTTTTTTCTTTTTATACAAATATATATGTATGTGTATATTTACCACCAATATTATCTATCTATCTATCTATCTATCTATCTATCTATCTATCTATCTATCTATCTATCTATCTATCTATCTATCTATCTATCTATCTGTCTATATATATATATATATATATATATATATATATATATATAATTTATTTCGGTATTTTAAAACAAAAACGTTAAAAATCGCTACACAATTATAGTCATATTTCAACAGTACAAATGTGTCTCCTCAGGCGATGTTAAACATTGTTGAAATGCATGATTGTAATTGTGTAGCGATTTTCAACATGTTTTTGTTTTGATATCCTAAAATAAACAATATTTAGCTCTACTCTGTATTGAGCTCTGTTTTAAATTAAATGTTACGTACAGTGGAATTATACACCATTTTCATAAACATAAGCTTGAGCCTAAATTTTCCATCGACTATAATAGCCGACATGTTGAAAGTTAAGCCCCATTGAAGCAGGAATTGTTTTGGAGGCATTAAGATTTACAAGCCATTCTTTCTCCTAATTAATCAATAATTGGAGGCCCCTTTTGAGAGCAGTTACCAGTTTTACTTTGTCGGATCTTTCGGTCTTGTTACTAAGACAGGAGTAAATAGTTGCGTCATCTACTTAAGTACGGAGTTGGGAATTGCTGACCTCATGATGGTCGTTGATGAAGATAAGAAATAGCGTAGATTCAAGTTGCTTTAAGTCACTTTATCTGTGAAGAAATTGTCCAGCATCCACTGCCTTACAGAAGGATTGATGTTAGCATTTTAGATATCTTTATTTTTATTTTTTTTAGTTTTTAACGAAATTATCATGTTTCTTAATTCTTTGTTTAGCCTTTGGAAGACATCTTTCGCGATTCAAATAAGCCTTCAGATTTTTGTGTCGCACATTTTGTCGTCTGTTATGACATTACCGAGATAGTTAAATTCAAATCGCTTAAGATAGCTAAATAAATATGTCACATAACTTAAGAATGACAATCCATTGTTTGTCGAATGATTGACATGGATGCGACAGAAAGCGTGATGACGAGAGAATGAAAGAGAACAAGGATGAGAGTGCCTAGTCATACGTTTGGCTTTTCAGTTATTGATACTCTCGAGCGTATTTTGCCAAACGCTAATCCAGATTTTATAATTAAAAAAAAAAAAAATTTGCGAATTTCTTTCATGATTCTCGTTGTTTGTATTTTCGGTTGTCATCAAGATTAAACCTGAGTTGGTCTGTGGCACGTACAGCTTCTTCCACGGGACGGGCGTTTCTCGATACTGACAAGCCAAAAGGGACTGGTGTGGGGGGATAATCGGGGAAAGTACTGGATGACGCGGGATGGTGAGACAGAGAGTGAGAAAGCGCGCGCGCGTGCGCGTGTGTGTTTGTGTGTGTGTGTGAGAGAGAGAAAGACATAGATAGATAGATAGATAGAGAGAGAGAGAGAAAAGGGTGATTCTTGTTAAGAGAGAAAGAGAGAGAGAAACAGAGAAAAGGATGATTCTTGTAAAGAGGGAAAGAGAGAGAGAGAGAGAAAGAGACAGAGAGAGAAAGAGATAGAGAGAGAGAAAAGGATGATTCTTGTAAAGAGAGAAAGAGAGAGAGAAAGAGATAAAGAGAGAGAAAGAAATAGAGAGAGAGAAAAGGGTGATTCTTGTAAAGAGAGGAAGAGAGAAAAAAAGAGATAGAGAGAGAGAAAGACAGAGAGAGAGAGAGAGAAAAGGGTGATTTTTATAAAGAGAGGAAGAGAGAAAGAAAGAGATAGATAGAGAAAGACGGAGAGAGAGAGAGAAAAGGGTGATTTTTATAAAAAGAGGAAGAGAGAAAGAAAGAGATAGATAGAGAGAGAAAGACGGAGAGAGAGATAGAGATAAAAGGGTGATTCTTGTAAAGAGAGAAAGAAAGAGATAGAGAGAGAGAGAAAAGGTGATTCTTGTAAAGAGAGAAAGAGAGAGAAAGAGATAGAGAGAGAGAAAAGGGTGATTCTTGTAAAGAGAGAAAGAGAGAAAGAAAGAGATAGAGAGAGGGAGAAAGACAGAGAGAGAGAGAGAAAAGGATGATTCTTGTAAAGAGAGAAAGAGAGAAAGAAAGAGATAGAGAGTGGGAGAAAGACAGAGAGAGAGAGAAAAAAGGATGATTCTTGTAAAGAGAGAAAGAAAGAGTCCCACCTTTCGTAGTTGTAAGCGTTCTCGGATTTTGTCAGCGAGTTTTAAAGTTACGACAGTTAATCAACCACTCTACCCCCCCCCCCCCCCCGCCAAATAAAGACACAGAAGCCTGCCACGTGGATGAAACAGTTACATTTTTCAAACCGACGCAGGGGTTAGTGTTCGAATCTCAGTAAAAAAAAAAAAAAAAATCCCTTCAAATCAGGAAGATTACCTCCGCCCACACACCTTATTCAAAAATGTGTCGTAGCAGAACTGTCTCCCTAAGAAACCATTTTTTTTGGTGGGGGGGGGAGCTTATGCCGACTAAAACCCAACTTTTTCAAATATCCCAGTGTTAGCGTCACGGAACTATGGTCTTACCACACGGATAATTGCTACTGCAGTGAGATTGATCCTCACTGAGTGGTTCCTGCCTCTGCCGTAGTCTTGTATCGTAACGTAGAAAGCATAAAAAAATATATGCTCAGTGAGCGAAATTCGCACCAAGGTAAGAGTCATGATGTCGGAAGCCAATTTTCAAGGCAGACAGGCATCTCCAAGTACATAATCTGGCGTAGCACAATCTTCTTTTCTCCATGTTCGCCTCATTTAGTTATGTCTCTGTAAGTTTATTTAAAACAAGAATTTATAAACCTGACTTTAAATGCTAATGGTAAGTTTAAGATCAACCGTTTCCATTCAGGAAACATTCGACACTCACTGACCGAACAGCTAGTGTTGTTATCGGTTGTAATTCATAAAATTTTAAATTGAATTAATTTTCAGAATCCAGAGGTTAGCAGTGAATATTTCGAAGACAGTAGGGAAGCGGTGTTCAGGTTAGCAGTGGATATTTTGGTAAAAGTAGCAGAGCGTAGTTCTTCCTTCTGTTCCTCTTCGCCTGACAAGCTGGCACTGGACATTCGGATAGAGTAAACAAAATGGCCGCCTTTATTCACGACGGATTGAATATTCTACGTCTTCTGATTGGTTAACCTTCTATTGGTAGACTATAAAGTGAGTCAAGTCATTTGGGCTAGCTCACTAGTAAACATATATACGCAAAAAAACTGCAACATGTATGATGAAAATTGTTTTGCCTTGAAAAATATTGCGTCATCCGTGATTGCATCAGAGTTTTATCCCGCACAGACAGTATTGTCTCGAATGTCGATTAGTTGTCGTACGGTCATTGCCTGCGACGGGCGTTACTCCAAGGAGGCGTACGAAAATTGTAACGCTGCACGGACACACTAGCAAGCCTTACCAGTGAGCAAATCAAAGTACTATCGACTGGTTTAAAATCCAGTCGAGAATCTGTGCTTAATCTACAAGGAACGACGTCTTTGAATGGACATACGATGTACTAACATGTGCACTGGGTTAAGCTTCATTAGCAAAATACGAAAATTAATTTACACTAGGGTGGCCCTATCAGTTGTTGCAAGCTTGGGTGTGCAATTGGTTTAACGGATAATGGCTCGGAATTGTTTCAGTTCCCGTTGGGTTAATTACATTCACTAACGCGCAAATACACTTGGGAAAGGAATGAATTGACCTATTCTCCCCCCAGCTATGGGTTAATTAGTAAAACTTGCATCACTAAACCATTATTAACTACAAAAAAATCCTCAAATCGCAAAATATTTTTCTGGCTTGAAATAACCTGTAAAGTGTAGAACACGAATCAATCAATCAAACATGTCCACTAGCTGTTATCGCCCTTTCTAGTATCGACAGGAATTTCCTTCCTAACCCTTTGCATAGGGTCGTGTTAAAAGCGAACATCTTAATTATGTAATTATTTTATCTCCTAGTTATTCTCTTTGTCTTTTTTATTTGTTGCTGTTTTCGAAGTCCTCAAGTGATATGATCTTTGCTATTTGGTAATATTCTTTATTTGTGATTCTGTAGCGCCAGTCTGCGAGATCTGATGAGGGATATGTTTAGGCTTCATTCATTTTTGATAACTGATCTGAGAAAGCGGTTGTTTAAAGCTTATAATTTAGATATTTCATAACGGGTTCGACTCCATGCATGACATTCATAACAAGGTCGACATCTAACGAAGATATTTACGAACACGACTCGAGTTCTTATATGAATGTTTTGATTTTGCAGCAATTGGTGGTTTGGTGTGAAACTACCCAAAGCACAGCCTTTTTTTACATTTCCTTATCTCGTATATTAAATCTGTTATAGCTGATCCAGACATCAAGGTATTTGAAGCGCTAAAATTAAGATGAAACGTAGACAAGTAAAATGAATAATGGCTGACAATGCTTCATCTAATAATAATAAAATTCAATATGATATTACTACTAATACTACTAATGCAATAAAAAACAATTTAAATTAAGATGAAAGAAATCCTTGTCCAAAATGAATAATGGCTGACAATGCTTCATCTAATAATAATAAAATTCAAGATAATATTACTACTAATACTACTAATGTAATAAAAAGCAAGTGAAATTAAGATGAAAGAAATCCTAGTGAAAAATGAATAATGGCTGACAATGCTTCATCTAATAATAATAATAAAATTCATAATAATATTTCTATTAATACTACTAATGTAATAAAAAAACAATTTAAATTAAGATGAAAGAAATTCTAGTCAAAAATAAATAATGGCTGACAATGCTTCATCTCATACTAATAAAATTCAAGATAATATTACTTCTAATACTACTAATGTAATAAAAAGCAAGTGAAATTAAGATGAAAGAAATCCTTGTCCAAAATGAATAATGGCTGACAATGCTTCATCTAATAATAATAAAATTCAAGATAATATTACTACTAATATTACTAATGTAATAAAAAGCAAGTGAAATTAAGATGAAAGAAATCCTAGTTAAAAATGAATAATGGCTGACAATGCTTCATCTAATAATAATCAAATTCAAGATAATATTACTACTAATACTACTAATGTAATAAAAACAATTTAAATTGAAATGAGATAAATATTAGCTAAAAATGAATGGCCTACAATAGATCAAGAAATAATATTACTACTAATAGTGCAAATGTAATAAAAACAAAAGAATATTTAGAGGTAAGAAATACGAGTAAAAAGAAGTAATAATGGCTGACAATGCTTTATCTAATAATAATAATAATAATAAAATTCAAGATAATATTACTACTAATACTGCTAATATGATAAATGGGGAGTGAAATTAAGATGAAAGAAATCCTAATCAAAACATAATGGCTGACAATGCTTCATCTAATAATAATCAAATTCAATATTACTACTAATACTACTAATGTATTAAAAGTACGTGAAATTAAGATGAAAGAAGTACTCGTCCAAAATGAATAATGGCTGACCATATTTCCTCTCATAATAAAATTCAAGTTAAAATGTAGCTATATTCAAATCTTACCCTTCGAAAGGATATTTTTTCTTTACTCGTTTTCATTTCATTCCATTTACATTAAGCTGACGCTACGCTATTCTTCATTGCAAAGTTCCTGCGGCGAGCCGAAGGGTAAAAGACCCATATCCCGCTGACAAAGCTGTCGTCTGGTCGCGTATCTGTTCGATCCCTTCCAGCCAGTGGCCGGAGCAGAGAGACGCGCTTCTTTTCCCTTGCCCCAAAGCTGCTGGCCGGAGCACAACACCGACTACGTTTGGACCGGGGACACTAAACTCTAATAGTGTCCTTATTCACAATATCTAATTACTCTGCGTCTTGACCATTGTCCAGCGCAGAACGATGACCATTATGGCGGCGTGTACAACAACACTGCTTTAGTTTTAAACGCGTTCTCTCGATCCTTTCTGTCTTTCTTTCGTCAGTTCCCTGGAAGGCTGTCTTGAGCAATCTCTTTTCTCCCTTCCACCTCCAGACACCGACATACTCCCAATTCCTGGACTCTTGACGGACCAGAATTACTTTTCAGCCGCTGGTCAGTTTAGCACGGTTAGCCAATAATCTCATGAAGAAGAAATACGTTTTTATTACATCAGAAATTGTCTGCGAGGAGAATAATCCGAATGACAGGAGAGTGGCGGCGTGGGAAGCATTCGAAGTCAGAGAGGAAGAGAAAGGGAGACCCAGAACATTTCCGGACAATTTCTGGGGGTCACTTTTATTACATGGCTTATCAGAATTCCGTGGTAAACAGAAAATACTGAAGAAAAAAGACTTCATTTTTTTATATATATATATATATATATATATATATATATATATATATATATATATATATATATATATATATATATATATATATATATATATAAAAAAAAAGGCTTAAACACTAATATTCCATGGTCATAATTTCTTCCATTGGAATCGTAAATACGATCCAAATCATCAGACCTACAAATTCAAAACAGAATTTAGAGAAAATGTAAGTATGAGGAGGAGGGAGATGAAACCTTAACAGAGAGAATTTTAGGAGATGTGGGGGGGATTTAAAAAGAGGAGAGAAAGAAAGTCGACGGATGTCTAATGCATAAAGATACATTTCGTGGTGACATATACACACCATAGACAATTAGAAGTTAGGAGGTAGGGGAAAAAAAAAGAAAGAGAAGAGGTGGGGGAGAGAGATGGGACGAAGGAAAATAAAATTGTGTTTACTTAAAGGGCTGCTTTGTAATTGAGAAAATTTGACAAATTAATATCGACTACGGGTTAGAAATCAAATATAAATATATGAAGATGAATATAACGATTGTCTAATTTAGCAAGGACAAAATATTTCTATGTTCAAAAACACATACTAATACACACAAAAAACATATACAAGTAGGTACATACACTTAGGCATGTACTCACACACACACACAGACATACGTGTACGCACACATACATATACATATATATATATAAAACCTAAAAATATAAAAATATATTCACATATCCACACATACACATATTCATCTATATTCATATACACACACTTTTCACATACATATACACGCATAAACTGAGTTCTACCTGGATTCTTCCTCTTGGAAAATTCTTTTCTGAAAATATACATGTATGGGTATTTTTTTTTTTATATATATATTTTGCATATGTATGTATATTTTCCACTAATATATATATATATATATATATATATATATATATATATATATATATATATGTGTGTGTGTGTGTGTGTGTGTGTGTGTGTGCAGGTATGTAGAAAAATAGGAAAGATTACGTTAGGTAAATAATCCAGGGTTCTTTAGTATTTTTGTTTTTATTTAAGAAAAAACAAAAAAAACAGTGCACCATACAGAAGTAGAGCTTAGATTATAATCATTTTTTTCAAAATATGATTCCTTCGCTACACAAGAGTTCTCATGTTTCAAAAACGAGAGCCGAACCTGAGAATACTTATGTAGCGAAGGAACCATATTTTTAAAAAATAATTATAAACTCTATATATATATATATATATATATATATATATATATATATATATATCTCTTTGGAATCGGAATTAAGATACTATTATATAAATAAGTATTTTCACCTTATAAATTTAAATTTTTTTTTTAATAATGTAAATTTTACAAGATAATAATGTAAATTTAATTTTACAAGGTTTAATGATCATTTATATAATGGTATCTTAATTCAGATTGTATTTATATATATATATATATATTTATATATATATATATATATATATATATATATATATATAAGAACATAGAAGTTCAACACTTAGAGGCGACAGTCTGTTTCATGCTAGACGCAATCGTCAGGCCTGACTTCTACGTTCACTTTTATATTTACACACGCTCTATCTTTGATATTGAGCACTTTATCCCATAAATATAGCACATCTTAAGACTATATTTCTTCATATTTTTCCATATATATATATATATATATATATGGAGTGTCCATAAAGTTCGTGTGCACTTTAAAAAATGTATAACTTTATTTGTATTTGCGATAGAAATAATTTGTAAAAAGGATTAGAAAGAAGAAAATCTATATTTTAAAGGTTTTATTGAAATTTTATTTAAGTTTCCACATGTCCTCCATCATTAGCAATACAAAGGGTAATACGATTTTGCAGTTCACGGAAAACATTTGCCAACTGATTTACAGTAATGCCTCTGTGTGTGTGTGTGTGTGTGTGTGTGTGTGTGTGTGTGTGTGTGTGTGAATCATATGTGTATGCATGTGTGAAATAAAATAAATAAATAAATAAAAAGTAATAAAAATAAAACAATATAATTTATAGGATTTTTCCAAACAGTAAATCCTGTAAATTTAATTTTACAAGGGGAAAATGATCATTTACATAATGGTATCCTAATTCCGATAATATGAAATATATTGCTCGGTTTATTATAAAAACATTGTGTTCCATGCGTGAATCAGTTTTAATATTTTATATTGTGTTAACAGGATTCACTTGAATTATATACCAACGGATTACTACCAGCATATATATATATATATATATATATATATATATATATATATATATATATATATATAACAAGCAGGAATTCTTTTTCTCCTGATCATAGCCATGCTGGTCGAAACCAGTCGAGGAACCTAACTGAAATAATAAAATAAAAAAATATTAATATACAGCCTAGTGTGTGTGTGAAATTCTAATTTTTCAAGATTTTTGCTTTACTGTTCAATATATATATATATATATATATATATATATATTATTGTGTATTTAGGTAGCAATCCTTCTTTCATACAAGCTTCATTAAATATGACAGACAAGGTGCTTTGATTAAGTTTTTTATATAATTTCTCATGTAATCTTATAATTTTTCGTTTCAGTAAATAAATTATACAAAACTATCCAAATTTTTTTCCGAGCACTTTCGGCTATACATTTAGCCATTTTCAAGCTTGAATTATATTAACTGCTAACTAAAAATAGATTGTTGTATGTTTGTATTTATATAATGTTCCATTTTCAAAACAAACATTTAAGTAAATTCTCTGTTTATAATAAACGGTATTAAACAATATTTACCGGCCTGAATGTCCGGGAAATTTTCTTAGAAAATATTCGTCCTCCGACAGAAATCGAACCTGTATCCTATAAGGAACCGTCATTTAGTTTGACGTGCCTTTTAACCGATTCGGCCTCATGGGATCGATTTTACTGCTTTTAAACTTTTAAAAGGCACGTCAGGCTATATGACGGTTCCGTATAGGATACAAGTTCGAATCCTGTCGGATATATATATATATACGGTGGAGTAATGGATAGCGGCTTGGATTGAGGAATCGCAGAGCCGAGTTCGAATTCCAGTCGAATCCATTACATTCACTTACGTGCTAATACCCTTGGGAAAGGTATGAATCCTCTTCCTCTCCCTCCAGCTATGGGTAAAATAGCAGGACAGACTGGGTTCTATAACCTTGGATGGCAACTGGTCTAGGAGAAGGACAACTCTGAAGGAGGGTCGTTTGGGAACCTTGTGGCATTCGGTGCACCAGGTCTCTGTATTCGTCCCTTCAAAAAGTGTGGATGGTCCTGCACGAGGCCTTCACCACTATAATAAAATCTCATGTGCCGGTGTCGGGCTGTCGGTTTCCTGGAAACTGATCTGCTTGACCCTCATACGTCGAATCTCGACGGGAGAGTCGATTATATATATATATATATATATAAAAGATCCCAACCTTACGCTTAAATTCAGGCAGTTGAGGTACTAGTAAAAGTAGCTCGTCAGAGCAGTTGCCATGAAGATATTTTCAGAAAAGACAGAGGGAAGCCACATGACGTCTGTCAGAAAGTGACTGAAGTCGGGATGCCAGGTCAGGGCCTATCACATTGCCTATCCGTCTTTAGATTTTGTCGAGAACCCCGAGACGTTAAAGAAAAGGAAGTCGTAGGGATGGTGATTAAAAAAATGTTTGCTTGATGTAAATTCTATAATCTAGGGCAGGAGTTTCCATTGGTTATAATTTATTTCCTCGGGGAATTTCTTTTTTCCCTGGCTCATCAGACCACATTTCCAAGGGTGAAAAAATGAATTTAAATTTACATATAGTTTTTATATACTTTAGAGGGGTAGTTTTAAGTTGATGTCAGGTGATAGAGAGAATGGGGAGAGATAGTGTGACAGACAGTAATATGCACCCCTAAAATTGTGCTGAAAATGTGGGAAAATGTTTCTACTGACGCATAATGTTCATCCCTTGTTTGGTAATCAAACTCTATAAATTGTACCTCTTCAATTACATTACGACCATTAATGGTTTTAAACATAGAATAATATTATTCTAATTTAGTTTTATGATAGTTCTTATTTTATTTTACTGTAATTTTTAAAAGTTTTTTGTGGCTGTGCATAATACGCATCCCTGATTGTGCTTATTATTTTTTTAGAAAAAAATGCGTATTATACATGGGGAATTACGGTAAGTATTAATTTTATTTCGGCGTAAACACCGATTGTATTTTAGGCTTTTCATGCATATTATCGATAAATATCAAGATTAGTATTCATCGTTATAAAAACATGTAAAAGTATCTTCCTCTAGCACAAAAAGAAATCAGCAGCAGTGAGCTGACGAAATTAAATAGATATAAAGAACTCTCCGGTACAATGATTATCTCCCCTTTCTTGTTCCACAACAAGATAAACAGAAATGGTAACCTTAAACACTTATGTTTATTGCAACAGCTAGAAATTCAATCATGTCGTTCTATACTACAATCCTACTCATGTTGCAACTAAGGGACTGAACAGGAGGTCTATTTCAAAATGCTTTAATTTCAGACATCTTGTGAGAAAACTTCAACAACATTCGTGATAAATGAGTTTTTCATTAAATTTTCAGTCTAGAAATGTTATATTTGCATCTGTCTTTTTTTTTTTTTTCATAGGAAACTAAAATAAAAATAAAAATGTTTTTTAAA